AAAATTACATATTGCAACAACTATTTAGATTGTATTACAAAATACTCTTGTATAATGTATGATTAAGGCTTTAATATTAATTTTTTTATACAAATGAAGTGATTTTAATTAAATCCATTTTTAAATATGATAAGTATTTGTATAAAGATAATTAAAATTTCAAACAATAATATAGCTTAACTTGTTTTTTTTTTTAGGTGATTCGATTGCAATTGATGGAATATCTTTAAAATGCTGAGGTAATCAAAATAATTTTTAATTATTCAGGAATTTTAGGGATAAATTTATTTAGCAAAAAAATTGTTTGATAATGAGTTCAATTTAAATTAAAAAAATTAAAATTAATATTAGTTCTCGCATAATTAATATTAGTTCTCTTATCTATTAAAATTTAGAATATTTTCCAACAATTTTGTGACCTCCATGAAAATGAAGGGGAAAGGTGGAAATACGCTTTAAAAGCACTAATTTAGATGGTATAGTGAAAGGTATACCTTTATAAGATATGTAAAACCTTTTTATTCTCATTTTTTATATATTCAAAAATTTCTCTTTGTGTTTTTTTTTTTTTTTCAAAAGCTTCTTCTTTTAAATACGATGGAGCGAATGAACTTTAATTGATGTTTTTTTTTTTTTAACTTCTAAAAATGCGCTTCATTTCGAAAAGGTGGCGGAAAAGAAAAAAACTTAGATTGATTGATATAAATTTATATTTATAAAAATCAATCTAAAATTTCTTAATTGAAATATTTACATATATTTCAATAAAGAAATATTTTCTTTTTGTCTGCTAATATTTTTTTTTTCAGTGTTAATTCAACATTACAAATTAAAACTCAATTATGAAAAAAGCCTAGAATTGAGTTGATGTTTTAAGTAAAATAAGAAAAGCCCAAAAAGTAACTGATGTAATATTTTTATTTTTTGATAAAAACAAATTCTAATAATGTTTAAAATTGGTATTAATATTAATGTTTATTAGATGAAGATGAGTAAAAAATAAGTAATGTTTATTAGATGAAGATAAGTAAAAAAATAAGTTACAAGTTGTTTTTTGGTCTTGAAAATTGTTTGAATGATAATTTATTATTTATCAAAATATTTTCTTTTTTAATTTTTATTGTTTTTATATTTTAATTAGAAGTAGATATTATTGTGTCGTATATTATAATATACCTTACATTATACAATTATATTTTATATTAATAATGAGTATTTTTGTTTTTTTGAATTTCTATTTTTTTCAATATTCCATAATTATCTTATGCAGATGTTTATATTTTAGCAAGCTAGTATTCTTTCATTATTTGTCTTTGTTATTGAGCCTTAAGTTATTTGAACTCTATTATTCAGCAGAGTTCTGAATATATTATATTCAGAACTCTGCTGAATAATAGAGTAATGAATAAATTAATAAAAATGGGTTTAAAATATAATAAATTTATAAAATAAAGAAAATCTTATCTTTGCTTATAATGTCTACTAATATTATTGTTTAGCAAGTATCATGGTTATAAAATGTTCAAACTTTGCTAGTTTAATTAGGCCTGTTAGTACACTTATATTATGGTTTCTTCATTTTATATTAGTTCATGTAATTTTTTCAAAATCGAATATGCGGAAAGGAGCTGTTTAGAATGAAGATTTACAAGAAGAAGTAATTCCATCTAATTGGATTAATGTTAAAACTTTTTTGTTGGCTTCCAGGTACCAAAGCATTGACTGCACTAAAATGCAGAGAAGAATTGGCTTAAGTTTATACAAATAAAAACTAAATTCTCTTCAGGTATGACATCTATATATTACAATTATTATTTTTTAAATAATGTGGTAAGAAGAGTTATTTTGTTGATACAAAATATATAACTATTTGTATAACTATTTCAATTCTAAAAGAAAGCAAACAGTATTGTGAAAATTTTAAATTCACAACTACAAAAGAAAAATGTGATAATGAGAATGTTAAAAAGTGGATGCAAGATTTGCACATAAGTGGATACTTGGATGCAAATTTTCCACTTGTGTGGTTTGGATGATTCTCCACAATATAATATATCTCCACAAGCATAATATTAGATTAACTTCATGTTTTTTTTTACAGATAAATCAATTACAGTTAATTGGTGGAATTACCTCATTTATAATCAGGGTGTCTGCAGCTCCTTTAAAATCCTCTACAGTCCTCTTTTTTTAAAACCACTTCTAAAATCCTCTATTATCCTCTAAAGAGGTAAAAATTTGATCAAAGCTTCTCATTAATTCTTCCTTTTTTAATTTTTGATGGATTTATAATTTTCAAAATACGCATTCTCGGTCTGCAAAACTGGTTAACGCCTTAAAGTGCATGGAATTGTAAAAAATTGCTTTAGAAAATGCATGCTATTTAACATAACAAATGACATTATTTAATCCCTGTGCAAGCCCCATAAAAGTATAAACATGGACGTTAAACCATATTAAATGGCCACATAAAATTTCTTAAAAAAATTTTATGTGGCCACCCCGAAAATTATTTTTCAATGCTAGAAATGTTATATATTTTTATTATTAATTTATTTTTAATATATTAAAAAGGTTGTTTTATTTAAATTAATTATTTGAAGAAGTTATTAATAACCAGCTAACATTTATACTATTTTTTAAAAATTCAGAGTATTTTCGAAAAGTTATATGGCCTCTATGGATATGAAGGGCAAAGGTGGAAAAATATGTTTTAAGAACACTAATCTATATGGCGTTGAAAAAGATATACCTTCATAAGTTGTAACACTTTTCCATTCATTATTTATTTTTTAAATCTTCCCTTTTTGTTTTTTTTTAATAAATTTTATTTATTTACAGATTCTTCTTTTGTATTCAATGGACCAAAAGAACACTCGGTTAATGGAACATTGTTTGACTTTCTGAATTACGCTTTATTTCAAAAAGGTGGTGGAAAAGAGAAGAGATTTGTGTAGATTTTATTCAATTACATGTAAATAAATGTAATATTTGAATATGTATATTTGAATAAAACAAGTTTTATCTCTTTTTTTAATCATACCTAGCTATTTTAACTAAACTAAACTGAAAAAGTACTAAACAGTCTAAGTATAGACTACGAATAGATTTAATATCCATAATATACCTTGATAATGTACAGCAACACTAATGTACATGCATTGTACGTTTTGATGGTGATCATATTTTGACGCACATAGCACGTTTACATACATATATACATTTTGACATAGCACGTCTTGATGGTGAAAAAGTGTTTTACAGCCGTTTAACGTTGATAAATCGACGTTAAACACTATCATTTTAAACGTTGTATCAACGTAAATTCAACGTTGTTGTAACGTTTTTTCGCGTCGAATCAACGTTGATATAACGTTTGAATCTAACGTTGGTTTAAGGTTGATAGATCAACGTTGAAAACAACTTTCATTCTAAACGTTAAATCAACGTTAATTCAACGTTAGGTTTCAACGATATTTCAACGTTATTTCAACGTTATTTGCCGGCTGGGATATATATATAATAATATATATCGTATAAATATATATATATAAATATATATATATATATATATATATATATATATATATATATATATATATTTATATATATATATACATATATATATATAATAAAATATATCGTTTATATATATATATATATATATATATTTATATATATATATATATATATATATATATATATATATATATATATATATATATATATATATATATAAAAAATATATATATGTATATATATATATATATAATATATATATATATATATATATATATATATATATATATATATATATATATATTATATATATATATATATATATATATATATACATATATATATATATATATATATATATATATATATATATATATATATATATATATATATATATATATATATATATATATATATATATATATATATATATATATATATATATATATATATATATATATATATATATATATTATATATCGCTTCCTGATAAACCTACTGGTTTTGAAACATGCTGTTGAAAGCACTAAAAATTAGATAAGTGTTTTTATTAGTATACTATAGTGTATAGGTTATTATAGTATACTAATAAGTATGACAAAAAAGTCGTTCTAAACTTGAGAAAGAAAACTTTTTTTAGAAGTGTATAATCAATAAACAAAGTCTTTTTTAGGACGCGTGTGTCTTTTCATGACAAGATTTAGATGAAAAAAGACGTCTTTTTGATGTCGAAAATAGATGTTTTTTAGATTTGCATATTAGATTAAAAAAGACGTCTTAAAGACATCGTAAATAAAACTTTTAAAGACGTCTTTTTGACGTGTTTTTACCAACTGAGTTCGATTATATCAATTTGAACACTCAATTTGAACATATCAATATGCGAACATAACTAAAAGATTAATAATTCACATCACACAGTTACTTGATGACAATGCTCACCACATACAGGTGACGCTCTAAAGTCTGCTCAATTGGCAAAACTAAAACCGGGATAAATGAGATTGCAATGTGATATTTGGTGTTTTTTCCACATAAATGTGGGTTAATGACGTTCTTTAAGGATTTTATTGAATAAAAAAAAAAAGGAAATTAATTTATTAGAGACATATGTTACTCTTATACCTCAGTGAAACTGTGATATAAAGGTAGGTCTGGGTAAAATATTGATAAAGAAAGGTGTGAAACTTTCAACAGCAATATATATTAGAGACTTGAACAACAATATAAACTCAACAAAAAAACCGTTACTTAAGAGTTATATATTTAATGCGTAAGTAATATATAAAATAAAAAAAAAAAATTTAATTAATATTATTATTGCTACATTTAAAATAAAAAATATTGCTATAATAAAATATGTTCACATATAAAGCGTTAATAGATCGATTTAAGAATTTATAATTTTCTCATTGTTTTGAAGTTATCTTAATTTGTATTTCACTATAAAATACGCATAAAAATCTGTAATATGTTTTTTTATAATCTTTTCTTTCACTTGTTATTATTATTAACAGTAACAAAATATATAAATATTCTATAGGATGACGCAGCAATCATGAATAGCTAGAGATAACTTATATTTAAGTTATCTCTAGCTATAAAATACTATAGCAACTATATTTTATATTATAAAATAATAAAACTCATTAACAACTATTATAAATAGAAAAAAACAACAACTGGATAATGAAGATGGTTGTGATTTTACAAGTAAACAAATTTTAAATCATTGTTTTCACTACCTGTACGTAGTGTTTTGTGTAGCCTGTTGTTTTCCTTTTGTAGTTTGAACATTTTTCCATGTTTATATATAACTTACAAGCTAAATTATCCACCTTAACTGTCCTCGCTAAAAGCATATGACTGTATTACAATTTTGTGCTGAAAACATCAAATAATGCATCTTTAACTCATATTTTATAAAACGTAACTGTCCCAATTTATATTAATAGTAAAAAAGTTTACGTTATATCTGATATTTAAACCAAATAACATACATAGATTTGCAACTTGTGAAAAACTTAGTGAATAACAATTAGCGTTTTGTAAGCACGTAAAAATGCATGCTGAAGGATCGTATGCCTCATTTGAAGGATGCATGTATGTAGCTATTGCATCAGCTATTTAAAATAATGAATAAATAAAGAAACATATGATATACATAAATATATATATATATATATATATATATATATATATATATATATATATATATATATATATATATATATATATATATATATATATATATATATATATATATATATATATATATATATATATATATATATATGTATTTATGTATATATATAAATATATATATATATATATATATATTTAAATATATATATATATATATAAAATATATATATATATATATATATATATATATATATATATATATATATATATATATATATATATATATGTATATATATACATATAAATGTATATATATATATATATATGTATATATATATACATATATATACACATATATATATTATATATATATATATATATATATATATATATATATATATATATATATATATATATATATATATATATATATATATACATATATGTATATATATATATATATATATATATATATATATATATATATATACATACATATATACATTTTATACTTTTAGGCACGTATTTAACTGTTAAATATATCATATTTTAATTTATCAGAGCCCAATAAGAAAACATCTCAACTTATTTTGATGATTTGGCTTTAACTGTAAAAAAATTTTATAACAAATTAATGCCGTTACTTTTTTTGATTTACTTTGCAAAAAAACTTTTAAGATTATCCACATCATTTTGGTTTTAAAATTAGTTACAAATATTAAATCAAAGTTAAAAATTCAAACAAACAGAAAAAATAATGTTCAAAACAAGTATGAATAGAAAAAAATTAGTTTTTAATTAAAATAAAAAAATACCTCCAATAATAAGAGTATTAGCATTTTTAATAACATCCGACATTGTCAAGGTGGCTTCATTTCTCAAGTCTCTGTAAAACGAGTAGGTGTCGGCTTTAAGTGCTATAGTAAAAGTTAAAAAAAAAGCCGTTAATAAGCATATAATCAATCAATCAACCAATCATTTATTTCTGAATTAAGGTTTTACATTCACGAATGTTTACAAATAGTAAATATACTAATATAAAGTAAACACCTACTAATGTTAATAATATCTAATTAAAATAAATATAATGCTAATTTTCACTATATATAATAATGATAATAAACTTTATAACATAAAATAAGGATGTAATATAAATAACGATGTTATAACAATACTAATAATAGTAATGATAGTAAAAATAACAATAATAACAACAATATTATTATTAGTAATAATAAAAGTTAAAAGTAAAAAAAAAAAGATTATTTTTATCTTATTATTATCGTATTTTTAAAAAATATTAAAAATAATTGTTAGTTTCAAATTGTTTACTAACTCTATATTGATACAGCACATGTTTATTTTTACATACATAGTAACTAAAACTAAATTTTTTTGTAGTTAAAAAATACATTTTAATCTTTTATATTCCTAGCAAACATTCAATAGCGGAGTTTTGCTCATCGTTTACTTAGCAGATCATTAGTGGCAGCCGCCAAAAGTGGCTAACCGATAACTACTTACTATTAAAATTTTGAAAAGTTATCGGCTTTCCATTTATAGCGACTGCTACTAATGGCCCACTTAGTAACCGATTAGCAAAATTCTAATAAACCGCTTAAAAATGCCTTAATTTAGCATTAGACCGGACAGTGTCGTGACTGATATGTTGAAGACCCCGATCCCCCTCAAAAAAACACCAACCTGTTATTAGGGCTCCAATTTTGGCCAAATAAAAGTTTGAGCAATTTTGTCGATATATAAACAAAACATTAGTAAAAAGTTTGCAAAAGATTACTCATAATAATGCAAATAAACATTGACATTTTGATAATGCAAATAAATTTTGTTTCTAATTGTAATAAAGAACAAAATTTCAATATTTTAGTTTATTTGCATTATTATTAGTCAACGCAATTTTCGTTCTCGAAATTTTATCGTATTTTTTTTTTGACTACCCTAGTGTGTTAAAACTTGTTGGCTTTTTTTGCACCATTTTAAAAATAATTTTTTTTTCTCATCATTCGTATTTTCTCTTAAATGATTTTATGTATTACGTTTAAGATGTATTCCATATTTCATGTTAAAATGACTGGTATATTTGGAGTAATTATTTAGCAAAAATTTACTTAAATTCATTTTTTATTTGAGTATCGAGGCAAAAAATTTCAAATAAAAAGTTAATAAAAAATTTTTTAATGATGTAATTATGTTTTAAAAAAAGAAATTTTACTAAAGTTCTTGGGGATCCAGGTTAGTTAAATTTTAACAATTTACTTTTATATGGTTTGTAGCTCTTGATTTTACCTCTAAAATAGTTATTTTACGAAAAATGTACTTAGTTATTTAGGTTAAATTATTTCTTTTTATACTTTTTAAATGAGAAGTCATATAGGTTCTTACATATAACGATGCTGATCAGAAGTTTCCTTTAACTTTCGGTTAAACCTAAATCTTGAAAGGTCTGAACACCATTAAGATAACTTAAAAATACAGATTTTTTAATTTCTATTGTTTTTTTTATTATAATGAGATGAAACACTTAAAATAATTAAATAATTATTTTAAATTCTTCATACGCAAAATAGAAAACAATATTTATTTATCATTTATGTTCAAATTGCCAACACGTAAAAAGTTGTACAACGAAAAAGATGCATTAAAAGCGTTTTTTTTTATACCACTAGCAGTTGCAATCCCGTGATCCTTTTTTTTATAGGGTCAAAATCCCGGGTTTGTCTATTATCAATTCAGGGATTTCGAAAAGGAGCTGCCTTGCCTCAGTGGTTTGAGCTTGAATCAGAACCCAGAGGTTCGAAGTTCAACGCCAGGTCTAGTCTTACAAATGACATTGGTATGGAGGAGGTGTAAACTTCTAATTAAATGCTCTCCCCCGGTGCACATGATAAGGCCGTTAGAACTTCTTGAAGCACCTAAATGACTACAGAAAAAAATAAATAAATAACAATTCCTATAAAATCAAATAAAACAAGGAGTAATGAAAAAATATATAAAAATGACCACAATTTATGCGCACCAATAAAATAACAATAAAAGAGCATTTGAAATGGTTCAATTTAGGGAGAAAAAGTTAAAACTTCGCAATATATCTTGTAAGTTAGCATATACACAGTTTAAAAATTTAATACACTATATTTTTTAAAAAAGAGATTAATAAATTTTCAAAAAACAATAAATAATATTGTTATAGCATTATTGCAGTACTTGCGATACCCACATTTCTGGAGTTTGGGATCAGTGCGAATAACAGGTATGATGCGAGCAGAAAAGTGCTTTGATCTATTAAAAAAAAACTTATGCTCTTTATCTGCAGCGGCATTGTGGCTTTAAAGACCGACGGAACAAGTATTATGAAAAAAGTTGGTGGGTTGCTGGCTGGCTTGATCATGTTGTTAAAGAAGTACAATTACAGATGCAACCAGTTAAACATAATCAGTAGCATAGCAATAAAACATAGGCCTGCCTGCAAGATTTTAATCCGAACCCCTTAATTAATATTTGCTCGCCCCCTTCCTTTTTTTCTTTTTCTTCACAAAAATTATACATGAAATCAAAAACTTTATCTTTAAATACAATTTTGATTTAATTAAATAGAACCCATGTTACACAATGTAAGACTTGTAAGTAAAAAAATTATTGAAAGTTTTTTTCTTGTTTCTAAAGCTGCAAATTGTCTCTATAGCTGCAATTTGTCTTTATAGCTGCAAATTGGTCTACAACACCATTTAAATTTAACTGAGCTGCTATTTCTGCTTTAGTAGCTCTTAGATCTGGTGCACACCAAATGATTTGCGCTAATGTTTGTCCGTAAATGTGTTTTAATGTGCTTATGGATCTTTTTGCAGTTGTTACGCTAATGGGTAATGTCAAATATAACATAATTGCTGCTATTATATATATAAATGAGCAACTTATATCATAATATGTTATTGTGGACACGGGTAAAATGCTAAAATGCGGATATTTTCAATGTGTAAAATGCAGGAAAAAATTGAGAAAAATTTCTTATAACCCTAACCAACCAAAACACTAAGTCAATGATAGTAGATTCAAGCTTCTCAATCTTTCGTAGTAACGGGTGTTAACAAAAAAAATTAGATTTTTCATATTGGGCTATAATAAAAACAAATGCTTAGAAACTTAAACTTATATTTATTTTAATTAAAAGTACATAACTTATCATTAAGAAAAAATTAATGAAAATTTGATTATGGTATATCATCGGAAGTTCGACGTTGTTTTGTCATGATGTTGGAACGGAAAGATGTTGCACAGCATTTATATCAATTTGACGAATGCATCTTTTGATTCGTGTAATCAACTGTTTTGTTAAATTTTTAGCTCTCTAGCTGTTTTTGTATTCTAACGAACTCAAATATCCGAAGAAATCTTTAATTGACACTGAGGCAAGTTTGTCGGATTTGGCTTTCCAAAAGGGCTTGTGTATTTTTTGCATAATGCAATGATGTTTTATCTGGCCTAATCAATATCCTGTTTTTCTTGAGATGACAGGAGCCGGCAGAAGACAAAAGTCTTATCATCCAGCCCCGTTGTAACATTTACATAATGTACAAAAAAAATAATCCATCATATAAAACTATATATATATATATATATATATATATATATATATAATATATATATATATATATATATATATATATATATATATATATATATATATATATATATATATAATATATATATTTATATCAGTAAGATAATATTAAATACTTTTAAATAATAGAGTGTTACATTTTTTTTCCAAATATAATACAAATATAAAGATAAGTAATGGTGAAAAGGGTGATGAAGTTAAAAAAAATAAGAAATAAAAGAGAATAAAATAAGATTAAAAATAAAATAGTATTTGAGCGTAAACCGGGTTACTTTGAATAGCGTAGTAACTTTGAATACAAATCTATTTTTTTTTCAAGTTATAATTAAGGCAAGAATTTATATGAAATTGTTTAAATCTCAAACATTTAAGTTTTAAAAACAGTTTAAATTTTGATTATTTAAAATTTTACTTTGTTTATTGGTTGTTATTGTTCCCCAAAAAATGAATTAAATAATTCGGATATTTTTCTAAAAAAAATTAGTCAGAATACTTCCTACACTACCTCAGCCAGTGTAGCAGCTTGTTGTCTAAGTTGCATAATTTTTGTTTATAAATTTATTAAGCATGAAAAATCTAAAGAAGTTTGTTTGCCTACTATAATTATGTTCCATTGCTGTAGCATAACATACTTTGTTGTATACATTTTTTCGCATACGGGTAACTTTGAATAACGTTTAAAGTAACTCCACTACATAAATAATCAGGAACATGAAACATTTTCAAAATTTCCTTTGTCATACATGTATTGTATATAATATATTAAGTATTGTACATAATATTATTGTGGTTAAAAATTAAAACATCAGGTGTATAAACAGTAAGTCACACATACACACATAGTTTGTGTGTGTGTGTGTGTGTGTTTATGAGTGTGTGTATGTAAGTATATGTGTGTTTGTATATGTGTGTGTCTTTGTGTGTATGTGTGTGTCTTTGTGTATATTTGTGTGTGTCTTTGTGTGCATGTGTGTATATGTGTGTGTGTCTTTGTGTGTATGTGTATATATGTGTGTGTATCATGGCCATCTTTGTACTAACAGGCCGTGTAAACGGACAATTTGTGCGACAAACTGGGAGCCAGTGTTAAGCAAAAGTTAAAGCGAGGAGTTAAATATAGATTAATAAAATATATATAACTGAAGAGTGATAAAAACTTATTTTCAAAGGCAATTTTTATACTAACAATATATTGTACAATATAAAAACTTATTGATCGTTCTATGTGTTATATATATTTATAGTTATTATTAAATTTATAAAATGCAAAAGAAATGT